GTGGACGTGGATGTTGCCGTGGATACGGATGTGGATCTGGTTGTTGATGTTGACGTGGACGTGGATGTGGACGTGGATGTTGACGTGGATACGGATGTGGATCTGGTTGTGGATGTTGACGTGGATGTTGACGTGGATACGGATGTGGATGTGGATGGTATAGCTACAAAGTAAAATAAGAAAGTTTTAACATCATGAACATGATGAAATAGGTTAGCTCTTTTATGTTTCACTGTTTTGTTCTAATTCTTAGGATAATGTAGACTATAGATCAGATGCCATTCTAGTTAACTAGATTTCTCTCAGCAAGTTTATCAAAGTATCAAGGCACTTCAATCAGCACAGAATAAATTTTGAAACTATAGATGGCAAAAATTACTTTAATTTTAGATAGTGGATGAGAGAGAAAAAAGGGGCTTTCTCAGTTATAGCATGTTTTATTCATTATATTCCTGCTTCCCTGTATTTCTCTTCGACTGCCACCATTACATTAATATGTTAGTTTTTACCTAGTTCCAACTTACCAGGCGGTAATGGACTTCTATGAATTGCTTTCATAGTGATAACGCCTGCTTGTATTGTTAAGTTACCATATGTATCTGAATTTTCATAAAATACTTCACATTGACCAGTGGATGTGTCAAAATTAATAATACGACATTGTGGATTTGTTAAGCAGGCAATTTGACAATCTCTGGCAGTTGATGTCCAAACAATACTGGATGATGAACAGTTTGAACGATAACATTGATACTTAACATCATGAAGTCTTGTGAATAAGATTGATCGCGTATTTTGAGATAAGATAGTTGGCATTTGAATAAAAAGTATTAACAAGAAATTGGTACCCCTGAGCATGTTGAGAAAATGTTTGAAATGGAAACAACTTGATCGACAGAGTGAAGACAACTGTTGTAATATTTCCTTACAGAAATATTTCTCTCCTTTTTCTTTGTTTCATCGCAAAAAGAGTAGTTCATTAGTTTTATTGCTGAATATTTAAGGTGTTCATCTCTTGGGAACATAAAGAAACAAACAGACTAATTCTTTTAAAAATTGTGAAACAAAATGTCAGTTAAACATAATGCATTAACAACATGCAGCATAGACCATACAGGTAGAAACAATAGTCTAGTTTTATTAAACAAAGTGACACAGGGAAGATGAAAGAAAACACTCAAAAAAAATCCTGCTATTGTTGTTGTAAGGTTGACGCAATGCAAAATTCGAGCAAATTTTTTTCTGAATTTTTTCGATGGAGCCCAATGCAGTTTGATGCGCTGAATCCGAATATGTATGATTTATTTAGATAAGAAATGATCTTCCTACCAGAAATCAAAAAATACTGCTGAAACCGAGGGTTTGAAAAACCGGCTTTCTACTGGGATTTTGGCGATGGCGCTTCGAGAAAATTTATTATAGTCTTGAAAGTTTTTTCTGTGGATTCAGCATCGAAAACTGATACTAGGACATTGGGTTTTCATCACTCAACACATATCTTTCCCCTTAAAAAAATTTATTTCTTTTCACGCACCAACCATTCGAGTGAAGCTCACTGAAAATGTACCAACTCATTTTCTAATGAAGATAGACACTTTTTTCTTTCGCCATTCAATTTCTTGGTTACCATAAATATAATCTACGTATTATCTTTCTTCAACTCACTTTCTTTCTCAAAATTTCCTAGCTATTTTTCGACCACCCGAGCAGACAAGAATCCTCAAAAACGCGTGAAAACGCTATAGAAATTTTCGCCGTGTTTCTCTACCAATCGCGGTCCCCGATTGCCAGCTAGTACCGTCGTAAGTAAAAGTCCGAAAGAACACCCTCCAAATTTACTAAAATATTTGTCTCTGGATATTCAGTACCTTTTTAAGATTATAATATCTGGAAACAATTATGAGCGAAGTCCTTTTCTATTTTTACTTACCGTGTGTTTCTACCAATCGGGGACCGCGTTTGTCATCCATACTCGAAGAATAGATAGAAGCGTTTAAGCTTCACTTTTCTGTGGAAGTGTATCTGTCAATATTTACGTTCCAAAACAATTTTCGAAATGTACTATAGATATCCACTTCAAGAAAAACTCTCCTATACTTTACCAATTGTTTACACCATCAAAACCATCAGACGTATTTTATGTGGATTGTGAGTAAATCAAATCACCTGCGCAATTCAGCCCTCTGGTACGCCATACCTAAATACAGAAATTCGGCTCACTAAGCGACTATTGATTGTCTAGATTTCTAACACAACGCCGAAAAACTGTCACTAGAACCAGATCTAACATGGAATTGAATCTAAAAGCAGAAAACAAATTTGGTTAGAGAGCTTTGCAAAGAATAAACCAATGAGATGACGTACTGCAATGTTGTTCTTGAACGTAGAATTCAAAAGAAGAAACATGAACAGATTTGACTATATAGAAGGAACTGAAACGAGGTAAACTTCAACGAGAAAATGGTAGTGTGTAAATTGCTGCTGAGAAGTTGTTTTAGATCACTGTGACATCAGCTTAAAGTATCTCTTATGTTGGAGATGGATGAAAATCAACGTACACTGTAAAACTGGAGCATGCATTGGTGTTGATATTCTGATGATGGAGGAATTTCATCGTGATAGGATGTAGAATCGATGGTAATGTATAGAACGATGTCGCCACTAACATGTGAGCAGTTTGTTGTAACAGATTTAAATGGCCTATGTGTTAGTTTCAGGAATCATTTTGTTTATGATAGTCGTCCACTTGAGTTTTTGACTGCCACTACTAATAGTAATGATGAAAGCTCATTATGTACGTGAATGAGAGCGGTTGCATTTTGTTAGTTAATGGTGTAGTTTGGAATCGTGATATAATATTACGTTGCAATTCGCTAGCATCTATAAGTAATGCATATAGCAGTAAGTGTGAATTAGTCAGAGATCAACTTAATTGATTCGACAACGAAATATTGAAATAGTTTTCAAATCGAATTGGATCTGTAAGAAGAGAGAGAAAACTATTAAAAACTCGAAATCGTGATGGACATTTCAAACCGATCTATGTTCGTAGCATGTGATAAAATACAAAATAGAGAGAGACGTTAGGTAGACGGAGTTATTATGTATTACTCGAATTCTTTTCTATCGACAGTAGTCGATGAACTTAAGTACGGTACTTAGAACATGACGTCGGCTCAAGCACTAGTAGACCTATCTTTGTGAAAAGTATCGTCAGACAAGAGAACGGACGTTTTCTTCGATTCACGTATATCTATATAATGTTCAGCATGTATCTGTATCTCTGTCTGTTTGTTTCTCTGTGCCGAATGAAAGGTTGAAGGTCAGACACGAAATATTCGAGATCGACGGTTATTGAATGTTAAAGATATACAAGAAGTAGAAGTGAAAGGTTATGAAGCTATCAAATTTGATATTTAGTGTTTCTACACCTGGTTTTCAATATAACTTGAAACGTCGAATGTCCTTAATTGAAGGTAAGTAGTGACGGTGCAGTATGCGTCGGGTCTCGCTAGTTTGTTGAATACTGTCGTGTTTCGCAGGAACGCATTAGTAGAAGAGGTATTATGAGTATAGGTCAAGAGACTATGAAAAAACTGTTTTCCTTATTTGAGTCTTACAACCTAAACTTATAACTACTTATTCGCTTTGCCGATAGTTGAAAAAAATCCAAAAACCAAGTTTCAAACAATTTGGGACTCTTCAGATGAAATATGTAACATCTGTGGTACATTCTGTAGTGTGCGTTGCTGAAACGTTAAAAGATTCGGTCGAGTCCAGGACTATTCAACTTTTATTTGCTTATTCTTGATATAAGCAATTCTGCATTATATTCTGATTTTGTTAATCTCTGAAACTTGTATGTGGCTCTCTAAATGGGCTACTGTCATGCTAAATATATGAATACCAGAGCCCTCAACAGGCCCTCTTTCCTTTGGCTTGGTCTGCCTGCCTACCGAAGTCTGTCTAAACTTTATATTGCCATTAAAATGTCAACAAAAACAGTAATCAGTACCGCTGTTGATCAAGAATGCAACGAAATAGTTGAAATAAAGTCAAGCGACTAGATCAGGTATTTATTTAGAAGCAGTTTCTACATGGAACAATGTTCAGATCACATCAGGATCGGGGAGAAGGTCTGGCTGTTGCTCCAGAATATCGTTCGAAGTACGAGAACAAAGAGAAGAACGATGAACGACGCTCTGTAACTATGATATGAGCGACAGTCGATAATTTCGTCGAACAATAGCGAGAATACTGACTGAAGAATGGTGCTCGTACTGACGGAGTCGAGGACAAAGACAGAAAAACCAGCACGTTAATTAATTGTTCGTTGAAATTTCAATCAGACATAATACGTAAAAGCTTCCTCGACATGTAGTAACGTCCATAAGCAACTCTGTTCTCTAAGCTAACAATATTTCTGATATTCTTAGCGAAATATTAGTTGAAGATAAAAAAACAATCAGGCCAGGCTTCAAAAACGTGACCTGCTGAGTACATATTTAGATAAAACAACAAATCGTAATACTTCGTTTCGTCTCTCTTTCGATGTTGAAAATGGATGCAAATGTTCATGAAAGAAAACACTTATGATTTCCATTAGTGTGGCAAATCGACAAATGACCCTCAGTTTACATTGATCTTATAAAACTAGTATGTGTCTTTTTTACGGATTGTTGCAGATATCACGACATCGTTTTCAGGTCAATAAAACGATTGCATATATTTTTCGTGTAAACGCTTCAAAATTATGATAAGTCAATGTATTCATATCAATTATTAGATATCGATAAATCCCAAACAGAAAATAGGCGTGAAAACGCCTGAAAACTGCAAATTCGTACTTAAAACACGCACAATTGGGAAAGTCAGCGTGTGCACGGCAATAATATCGGTTTTCTATGCGATTATATACTAAGAAATGATAGAGTTTATAATTTTTTCCGTCTTCTCGCCAAAAACAATCGGAATCTTAGTGTTTTCACGCCCATTCTATTTTACACGCGTGTAATCACTCAAAAAACGCGATTTTTCGGCGTGAACACGCGTTTTTGGCAATTCTTGTCTGCTTGGGCGGTTCTATTTAAATTTTAAAAAACTAGAACGATGCTCATCTTTGGTACATGTGATGAAGAAAAACAATCAATGAAGACATAGTATGATAACCATGAGATATATTGAATAATAATCCAAAAAAGAAAAGAGCGTAAGAGCAATACAGAAAAATAAAGAAAATAAACTTGAGTAGATGCGCACAAAAAGAAGAGGTGATAGATAATATGTTAATCAATCAAGAAATGTAATTTATGGAAGAAGGATGAAAAATCCTTAGGAAAACAGAGGAAACTATTTAAATGCTAATACAGTCGGAAACATTTTACATTTATCATAGATAATTTGAACATTTCTAAAATTAGCTTCCTCAAGCTGTTGTAAAGTCTTAGCTTCTGTTCTATATGCTCGAAACCTTCCTTGCAGAACATACGAGAAAAGTATTTTCTGACGTAAAAGATCGTCTTGGTTAATAATTTTCATCTCGCGAGGAGAAGTGGAGTCAAGCGAAGGCGGAGGAGTTAGAAAACTTGTTACTAGTGCTCCATTTGGTTTTAATGCAGTATAAAACTTTTTATAAAGCTCTGTAACTCTTCTATCATCTTTTTCATAGATATTTAAACCATGACTGGTCAACAGATCGAATTGTTCGACCACATCCATTTTCCAGGCATCCATCCGATGTAGTTCTGATCTTGATTCTAAACCCAATTTTTTAGCATTCTCCCTTGCTTCAACGAGAGATTGTTGATCTAAATCGATACCAACAAACTTAATACTCTGATTTTTTGGCAAATCAAGTGTTAATAATTCATCCATCACTCCACAAGGAAGTGATGCTAATACTATGTTTTCTTGAGGATGCTTCTCTATGAAATCTTGTATTAATTTTTGAACAATAATGAACCTTTCTTGTGATGCACGGATTGTAGGCGCTTTTTCCAAAATCCATCGTTCGAAATCAGTAATAGAATCTTGTTTTTCTAAAGTTTGACTCCACTTAGGATATAAAATCGCATACTGAGTCCAATACCCATTCAATCCTCGATTCTGTAGTAAAAATCGCCCAAATTCGAAAGTCATCAGTTGATCCACAACGGCCAGAAGCTCATCAACGGTTGCATCATTTTTGTCACCTTCCGCCACAATACGTGTTTTAATATTTTTTACAGTTATTTGTAAATCAAGCTCCGAAGGCTCATAATCAATCCTATGTGTGATTAAATCAGCATTTTCATCCGAAATAGACAGAGCTGAACCACCGATTTCTGGATCAAAGGGAAGATCTGTATAAAAAAATCAAGTTGACAGAGAGACGTTGGAAAAATTCAAAATTACTGTTTTCCATCGCGAAACTGTTTTTCCCGTTGAGACCATCCGGCAATTGAGCATTACTTTTGTTAGATACATCCACTAGAAAAAAACAATCTTAGATTATGTCTTGCTATGAAAGCTAGTCATCTACCTTGTTGTGATACTTGGTTTTTGTTCTCCATAGCACGTTAAATGTTACTCGTAGGGAAGAAACTTGCCGATTACTTCAGTGTATTTTAGCCTAAAAAATGAAGAAACAAACGTAGTACTGTTCTCATATAAACGCAACACGCAGAAATAATAAGCGACATTCACCCACAAATACGATAAGATACAGGTTTTGTACTACGGCTCTTTTTTAAATGAAAAAAGTTTATTGTTATTCATTCTGTCTATGTTTTAAAAACAGTATTAAGAAAGACTTTATAAGGATATCATCCTCAGCCAGTTATCCAAAATTTTATGGTCTGAAATTGAATATGACACTTGGCAGGATACAGCGCATCGAGCTTGAAAAGGGAAAATCATAAAATGATAGTATGTGAAACATGTTGAGTAATGATGCAACATAATTGATGAATACCCATATCGATGAAAATGATTTATTTTGAGGAAAGGTTGATGAAGAAGTCAGGGGTAACAGTAATGGCGACTAAGACGACAGTGCACTATTAAGGGTATAATACATGCTTCAAGAATGATAGGTAGCTCAGTATTTTTATGATATCACCTTAACATTCATTTGTTTAGTCTTGTTTTTTTTTCAAAAGGAGACATTTTCATGCTATACAAACAGTATATTTTTTGTTAAAATAGACAAGGTAAAGGGCCGTAAACGTCGCCAACTCTCTACTGGAAGTCGCTTACTCTCAGGGATGGCCCGAATTAACGAACACTGGAGGTGTAGCGAAATTTTATTCAGTAAAAGATGAAATTTTTTTATTTTGAGGGATGTAACATGATTTTTGAGGACTAATGGAAGAAAAGACACTGTCATTTTTCAAAAAGCTCATCAGAAGCCGATGAAATTCTAATGATCGGTAGGCCTCACTGAGTTACGTCTATGATAAAGGTTTCGGCTTTATTCGATTATCTGTTGATGAGTTTTAAGGCTCACAATACACTTGTCTAGAATGACGTGTTCTACAAAAGAGATGTCACATCTCCTACAACTTGCTGTACGCCTACAGCATTCGATTTTCTAAATATGTGACATTTGTGATATTCTAATAGTGGAAAAATGAAGTATTCGAAGCTTTTTGAACAAAGAGCAGATACTAATCGTATTAAGGATGAAATTCCGCATAACTTATGGCTGTTCTAGTGGACTAACCATAAGGTACATAAAACGGGATCAATTAGGGTTCCCCTCGATTCGAAACAAGATTATCGCTTGCTGCATTCGAATAATCGGCAATCGCGGATAAATATCTTACTCACTTTTGGTTCGCCTTGCTTGTTGTGTTCGTTTTTCGAAAAGTATGAATATCAGCAACGTACCTCGCTTATATACCTTTAGCTCTTGCGCTTCTCTCGCTCCTATTTTCTTCTTTTTCTCGTCCATTTCTTCTGTTTATGTTCCTCAATTTCTTACTTTCT